TCATTAGCAATAGCGCCCAAGGCTGGTTAATTCACTCACCACCCAAACCAGTTGAGCCTGGCAGCCAGATACTCATGCTCACGTAGTGACCCATGACCCAGTCTCTACTGCCTCCTCCACACAGCCCCTGGTACGCCGCTCCATGGGAGAGAGAACTTGGCTAAGCTTTACTAAAGATCCCCCCTAAGGCACATGCTTCTCCCCTGCCACAGAAGAAGCAGCAGCAGCAGCAGGAGCCGAAGCGAGCCCGGAAAGGCTTGAATCACCACTGTGCTAGGCATCTGTTTGAAAAGCTCCCCAGCCCTGGCCAAGTACAACAGAGCACTAATGTCTGCGAGGCTGGTGGTGACCCCGAGTGATCTGTGTGTGTGTGTGTGTGTGTGCTTGAAGGTGTGTTTTGTTCTCGGGGAATTTACATGTAGGTGTGTGCATGTATGCGTATGCATGTGCGTGAAGAGTGCTGTGAAATGAATCGACGCATTATCACGCCCCTGCCTCTGATCCCCTCAGGCCCTGGAGGCTGTGCTGTTCAGAGCCTTGCTGCTGTGTGTGAGTATGTGGCGCCTATGTTCCAGCACTCGCTCTGGCTGCTGCGTCTGCTCCGTGGGAAGACTGCTGGAGGGTCTCCAAAGCAACTCTCACTCCCCTCTCTCATCTCTCCCACCTCTTATTTCGCTTCCTTTCTCCCTGTCTCTCTGTACTTGAAGGGTCTTGGTGCTGAAAGAAACTTCGGCACCCTCTCACATTTTTTACTTTAGCAAGTGGTTGTCTTCTTATCTCTTGGTTACAGGCTATATTAATCATTCTCGATAAACAGAATACACAGAAATACACAAGTGAATATACAAATGCACTGTGCAACAAACTAGTACTTAAACAACGGAGGCAACTGTTTGCATGGCTTTTTTGGTTGAATTAATTTACTTGATAATAATACTGAACTTAAAATGTCACATCGTCATGGCTTTAAATCGGTCATCACTGTAAAAAAACTTAAAGGAATAGTACTTATGTCATCATGTTGTTCCAAACCTGTATTACTTTATTTCTTCTGTGGAACACAAAAGAAGATATTTTGAAAAATGTTTCAGTGATTTTTTATGTATACAAGGAAAGTCAATGGGGTCCAATGTCGTTTTAATGGACAAAAACAATCTTCAAAATACCTTCTTTTGTGTTCCGCAGAAGAAAGAAAGTGAGAGACCTTAGTCAGTGTAGCACCATATTTCATTTTTGACATGAATGAAAACGAGCCTGTGAGGCATATGTACAGTGGATTCAATGGATTGTACTGTTATTTTAAAAACATACTGATTGTTTAGCTGACTAAATGTCTTTCCGGAAAAAAAATGTCAGTAGACAAAAACTCCATAAAACTGTTTTGGAAGTTGTTAGCTGTGAAAATTGCGTGATCTAGGACCTTTATACAGTGTGTGCCATTGTAAAGATTGTAAGTCAATCTCCCATAGCCTCGTTTTTATCCGTGTCAGTTCAATATGGCATCTGGTCTATAGGTTTAGAACGACAATCGAGTGAGTAAATAATTAAGTAAAAAGATTTTTTTCAGCTGTAGCATCTTAAAAAGATTTCCATTCAGTTACGTTTAAATTGTACAACATTACAATTTAGGTAGCATTTCAATCTAAGTAAACTAACAACTACATTTTTACAGTTTTTTTTAGCATTGTTTAACTGATCTAAGAACATTTTCCACAGATAAAGACATTAGTATAATATGGATATCTGCCATTGCCATATTCTGCATTTCAGTAAGCCATCAAATGTGACTGACAGCTCCTTGAGTGAGGCTGACACCCTCACTGCCGGCTGTCCGACCTCTTCAAGAGATCCCTATGAGCCGTCAACAACAACTTTCCTTTGGCAGCTGGCATTCATCAGTGGCTTACACATTAACTTTACACGGGCTCTGTGATTGCAGCTCAGCTTGTTTGGGAGCATGCGATCTCCCACTTTCTCACGTACTTTAGTCCTGATTACATTATTGCTGTGTGTGGACAGCCATGGTTGAGAGACCTTGATAAAGATATGATTCTGACAGAGAGAGAGGAGAGGGGTGGAAAGAGGGAAGTGTGTGTGTGTACGTGAGTGAGCAAGATAGAGAGAGAGAAGCAGTGACAAAGACTTTGCTAAGGCATGAAAGTATTGCTTTAACTATACTTATGTCAATAAAAGTGCCAATAAAACAGAGTTATACAACATAATATGGACTTTTTACACAGCCATAATTAACTTAATTGCAGAGACGTATGCTCTTCTTCATTGCTGCAATTCAGTATTTCAGCGATTCATACACACTGTAACAATGAGCCTATTTTTTCATATAGACACAATAACGACGTGATCTCACAAAAGGTAACACTACAGAAAAACACACATGGGACTGGCAGCGTCCAGGTGCTCAGGGGGTGGTAAAGGGAGGGACAACGCAACCTGCCCGTAATTCAATGCAGCCTCTAGATCCCTTGTGCAACACGAGCATGAGAAAGTTACTCATGCGGAGACTAAAGGTTTCTGAATCTACCGGTCTTTGTCTACTTGACATCAATACATTTGTTTTGTGAGTCCTTTACAAGTGTGAGAAAGAGCGATGAATCTGTTTCGCAGTGTAAACAAATGCGACATTGAGTACTTTGAGTAGTTATTATTTATTAAAAATGTGCAGGGTTGGAAAAATTATTTTCTTGCTTTATTGTAACAAATTTGGTCTGCAACTCAGTGTTTTGTGTCTCAAACTTTGATATAATATTCCCATATTTATCTGCTTCAAATTGACGTTTAGAAATCTGTACTTAACCCTAAACTGTGTAAATAAGTGTGAAGCACAAAGAGCGATGTCTGTTCCAATCGACCCCCACTTTTGGGGTGGGTTGTAACACTAATTTACTTGTTCAAAATGATTGTTATGCCACCCCTCCATCACCTCCCCATTTCATAAGCATTTTAATTCAAAAGCATATGCAAATTAGAAACATTTTACTTCATAACAGCTACTAAAATAGAAGACATGCCTGGTCAGCCATGATATTTCTAGCAGTTTTTTTTTAAACATGCAGATGAAATGCATATAACATTAAACAAGAGAATATTCTCTTTCAGTTTCCAAATGTAACAGTCATTAACATTAATTGGTTAAACTGATTGAACTTCAACAGCTGTCTCTCCTACAAAAAACACATACAATGCACAATACAATGTTCATTATTGTAAAGCAAAAGTGATAAGAGTAATGAACAAACTGTAATTGTCTTGTGGATCTGATTGCAATTATATGTGTATTATTTATTTATTACCATAGTAATTAACTAATATCAACATCAGTAAGAATTTTATAGCAGAAACTGAGTAGATGTGATTAGAAACACATACAACAATGCAGACTGTTCAGCAGCATGCCACTATGATATATCATACTCATGAACTGCAGGCGAACCCCCCCCCCCCCCCCCCCCCCCCAAAAAAATCCCGCCGCTTGCGCGCCACGTGTCGCGGGGTCTGCAGCAGCTGGAGACTCTCACCCCTGTAAATGTGCATATCAGAAGGCTGCCAACCCACACCACACACTCCAAGCACAGTCTTTACTCTCACTGGATCATGATAGACCACTAACTGACAAGTCTTTTTGTTTATGATGGATAGCAACGTGTGCAATGTGTTGAAACTTTCGACAATATACATTTCCGCCTGGCGCAAAATGTTCTTGGACTTTGTTATTTGCGTTTTCATTGCATACATAAAGACGTGGCAAAGTACAGGCAGAAAAGCATGAATGAATTCAGTGTTTTGTGGCGTTTGTTTGCGAACTCATCCGAGGATCATAAAGCCATGACCTAAATTAGAGCCGCTTCTGTCAGAGTCAAGGACGCTATCCGTGCAGTGCGCGCTTTCGGTCTGAAATATCTTCACACTGGCTCGCATTCCGATAAGCCCGATCGAGCTCTCAGTGGGCGTGGTTTTCCCAGGCTTTTAGAACAGCAGCTGCTATTTACCTTCCCTCTAATGTAAACCACCACCGCCACCCCTAGCCCGCCAGCCAAACCTCAACCACCGAGGTAATAAAACATCCTGGCACGTGCTCCACATTCACAATAGAGCTCGTGAGCCGACAGATGTCAAAATGCCAACAGCAGCGACGCGCTTAAAGAAATAGCTACACCGCTGCCTTGTCAAATGCACTACAAAGTCAAATGTTTAAAACACCAAAATGTAAAGCCTAGATTGAATTGCTTTAGACTGCATTGATAATTATGCAAATATTTTAACCACTTTAAATCGAACGAGAACAATTATAATGAGAAGTTGAACTGATTTCCTACAGTGTAACTTTGCAGAGGAAGTAAAACATTCCCTTTTTTCAGATCGTCTAAAACTAAGACCACTTAAAATGTTACATACACATTCCGGTCTTCACAACAGGCAGTTTATTTCGGTTGTAGTAAAAGGCAAACTCACATGCATTTCATTTGACCTTTTTGACATTAATATTGCAATAGTACACTTTTCTTCACGTCTTAAACTTTCTATAATGAGCAGGGCGTATGTCAAGTCAAGTCAAGTCACATTTACTTAAATAGCGCTTTTAACAATACAGATTGGGTCAAAGCAGCTGTACAGCATTAATTAGGAAAACAGTGTGTCAATAATGCAAAGTAAACACTCATTTTTCATTTAAGGCAGTTCATCATTGAATTCAGTACCTATGTATATTTTTAGTTTTCTTACTTAGTTTCAATGGATCTATATGTGTATTGAATTATAATTACAAAGTTTGCTGTTTCTTTGCGGAGACTGGCTCTTAAGTGTTAACACGTAAACTGAATGATTGAAGGCAGTCTCGGTTGTGCCCTAAACCCGGCCGCGCGCCATTGGCCACCCGCTCAAACGCTAAACAACCAATGGAGGGGCGCCGACCACGAGCCATCCTCCCCTCGGGCCGCGTGTCCCTCACGCTGATTGGTAGAAAGTTACTGTGGGAAAGAAAGATGACAGTGAAACATCTCAGAAACATGCAGCGGGCACAAATGACCGGTAAGTCGGCAGTCTACTGAACGATCAGAAAACAAGTAGCTTTATGAGAACTTCCATGCAGGAACTCGGCTTTCTGCACTCGTTTTAAATGCTGCGAGATATTTTTTTTTCCTCTACTGAATTCAACTAGATTGAAAGCAGTTTTATGAATGACTCAAAACAGTTTCATGTTCATCTACTCCAAATGATCTGACCGAATGTCTTACCTCATCCTCCCAACAGCTGCCCTGAACACGGACCCCACCGTTCTTGGGAAATACAGAGCTGGATTCAGTGAATGCATGAACGAGGTGACCCGGTTTCTGTCCACCTGTGAAGGGGTTAACACCGAGGTCAGGACCCGGCTGCTGGGTCACCTAGCAGGCTGCATGACACAGATCAACGCCATGAATTATCCAACACAGCACCAGATACCTGCCGGGCCTCCTCATCCATCCTTCAGTCAGCCAATGGTTCAGCAAGCCAACGTTGTGCCTCTTAGCGGAGTCCCCTGCAAAAGCGGATCTTCCTCCAACTTGACTTCTGACGCAACAAAAGTATACGGAGGTTTCCAGCTTGTGCCGGCAACGGACGGACAGTTCGCCTTTTTGATTCCCAACGCTGCCTTTGCTCCAAACGGTCCCGTTATTCCAGTGTATGCCAACAGTTCCAGCACACCGGTGCCGGTGGCCGTGTCTCCGGGAGCACCGTCCGTCACGTCAGATTCCGTTTGGCGGCCTTGGTAGACTAGGCCTATAGCCTACCTATGGAAAGCAAAAAGAAAAACTCTTAAAGACTCTTAAAAGACAAATGACACTTGTTTTCTTTGTTCAGCGTTACTTTTTGTATGAAAATGTGTTTTAAGAGACGATGCACTATATTTGTATAGATCAAAAGGGAGAGAAGTTCATATTGAAATAAGTTTTGTATTGTTGAATTCCGTTCAATGCATTTTTTATATTTGCGGTATCTTTTCCACGTTGTGATGCCAAAGATATGTCGAATGCGCTTTCAAGTTTCTTCTTTTTGGAAGATAAATAAAAGACATCTTAAAAATGAAAGTTTTGCCTCCGTGTTTAGTTTTATTCTTTTTCCACAGTTCGTGAACCTTTTCTTATTCTTACCTTAAAACAAGCAACATCTCGGGCCATATCGCTTGCACATTTAGACTAAATATGCTGCAGTCTTCAAAGAAGCGAAGTGTTTCTCTTAATCATTGAATATCACAAACTCAGGAAAACTTGTGTAAAATTACACTGGCGGAACACATTATACGGCCTCCAGTGTAGTATGGTGTAGTGTAGTATTACAATCCACAATTCAATACAATCCAGTTATTTTTATTTATTTTTCTCTTATCACTTAAGAGCATTTTTTTTTATAACGCTAGAACTAATTAAATGAATATTCTCATAAAAACCGCCTGCCTGCCAGCAAGCGCTGACGCACAGGGCCCGTCTGAGGGGGGTAGAGCGGAGATGATTGGGGCAGTATGTGGGTAGTTAGACAGCAGAGGCATACGTGAAGACGAGGACAGGGGACGGGAAGGAGGATGGAATAATGGAAGCCACGACAAGAAGAACACGTTCTCTAAATATAGTTACAGAGTTTATACATGTGCTAAGTGTTTTTATCTGTATGGGGGATATCATTCAGAGGGAAGCAGAAGCTGGAGAGTCGATTACAACTAGCTGCAAATGCAGATAAACAAATGCATTATTCATTATAATATTCACTTCGATTTACCCTTGAATATATTACCTTGTGATGATCACTGTGCCAAAAAAGTGTCTGTTTAATTACTATGGGTTGTTTCACTTTTATATAAACATAAAGCGTAACTTGGTTTGAGATTGAGAGCCTCTAAACAACTTTTTCAAGTTCTCAGACAGGAGCAGCAATGGTCAAGGGCTTTCATTCTGACAGGAGCAAATAAGGATTAATGTGAATGACCAATGAGTAATCAAAGCGACACTTTTGGCACAGGAGATGAAGGAGATGGCAAAAGCTCTGCAGTATTTAAAGTTAAAGGAAAACAAATACATAAACACTATATAGATGCATGGAAATTCTTACAAAAGAAAAAAGGAATATATTTATTTTGCCTATATGGCAAAAAAGGGGATCATTTTAAAATGTACAGCTTAAGACAATCCACTTAGTATTGAAATGTTTTGGCTTAATGTGGCTTGTTATTATGTATAACAAGCTAATACAAATATATTTAAAGGGGTCATATGATGCGATTTCAAGTTTTCAAAAAGATAGAATTTCTCAAATTTGCTATGACAATCTGGCGCTTCTGAATCAGCTACTGTAAGTATGTTTTGTTATTAGTTTAAGTATTTGCTATTGACTGTTGAAATGCGGAGTTTTGCACAGCGCAGAGTAACGCGTCATGTGTGTGTGTGTGTGTGTGTGTGAGGGGAACAGGGTCACCTCACAGGAGAGTGAACTGCCTGTCAGAAATCATAGCACGTCAGCTGTCTTTACTGCGGCTTGTGTACTGCATCATCACTGTGTCTGTCACTCGACTCTGTTGCCCTTTCGGGCTTGAACTGATGGTAAAACTAACAACATTATTAACTGTCTTGATATTTACTATGAAAGCCGACGCTCGCGATTATGGTAAGGGGCGTTACATTTCCGACGCATGCTTGTGGTGTTCGGCCAATCACAATGCACTGGGTCAGCTGGCCAATCAGAGCAGACTGCGCTTGTCAAAGGAGGGGGCTTTGTTGAAAACGACGTGTTTGAGAGAGGCGGGGCATAGAGGACCTACAATAACGTACAGTACTTGAAAAATAATGTGTTTTTTGAACATTAAAACATGTCAACATATTCTGTTACACCAAATACACAAAATAATGATCTTTAAAATAGCATCATATGGCCCCTTTAATATCTAATATATGCTGCTGTTCAAACGTTTGGGGTTGCTAAGATTTTTTAACGTTTTTGAAAAAAGTCTCAACAATGCTGCAGTAATAGTAAATACAGTAATATAGTGAAAATTGTTACAATTTAAAATTCTATTATAATTTTACAGTATTTTATTGTAAATATTTCACAATGGAATTTATTCCTGTTATAGCAAATCTGAATTTTCAGTCCTTCATAAATCATTGTAATATGCTGATTTGGTTTTTAAAATCATTTCTTATTACTATATGTTGAAAACAATTGTGGTGTTTCATATTTTTGTGGAAACATTGATACACTTATGATCTATTTCATGTGTCCTTCGTTAATAAAAGTATTAATTTCCCTTAAAAGAAAATTAAAATATAAATAAACAAACAAACAAACTTACTGACCCCAAACTTTTAAATGGCAGTGTATATATATATATATATATATATATATATATATATATATATATATATATATTTAGCTATGTGTTTATATTTTTAAGCTACCAAGCTACC